ACGGATACTCGGACTTGAAATAGACGCCCAACATTCTTCTTCCTATAAAAAATAAAATAAAATTAAACACACGCAGATAAATACTACCCCCCATATATATATATATATATATATATATAATACACATGGACACACACACACATATATATATATATATATATATATATATATATATATATATATATATATATATATAATACACACGGAGATCTATATGAAATACAGGAGACTTCTATCCGCAATATACTCGTATATAACAATATAGCAGAATGCACTCGTGTTACTGCAGAAAACGATTACAAATAATAAAAGCGTTAACCATAAAATAAGAAGTCAACAACTCTCAATAATATCAATTTCGAACATGATCACAACGTAATGACTTTGTTCGAAATTTCCTCTTACTATTAAAATATAGCAACATTCTTCCTGCTATAAAAAAAGCATATCCGGAAAAACAAAATAAATCCTTGATAATGGCTATTAGATTAGCCGAAAGCGCTAGGATACACAGATCATTTGGACACAAGTTCTGTCGCGTAAGGAAATACGGCTTTACGTATGCAAATATATATATATATATATATATATATATATATATATAGAGAGAGAGAGAGAGAGAGAGAGAGACAGAGAGAGAGGGGGAGATTTAATATGCCTGTGAATGAAACAGCTGATTTGTTTATTTCCATCTATCGGCCTGAATATTTGTGAGATCTTGTTAGAAAAATATGCGCCCTCCGACAGATTTCGAACCTGTGCTCGCCCCCACTCTCCCCAGTAGAAACCATCATTAGATCTGAGGTACTTTGACTTCTTGATCATGAAAAGATAGAGATAAATAGATATACTGTTTAATAAATAAATGAATAGAAAACATTTTCTCAAATATGAGGACCCATTAAAAATAACCTTTAAACAAATAAATTGAGAATATATCGGATTTAATCGAATTCCTAAATATATATATATGTATGTATGTGTGTGTGTGTGTGTGTGTGTAAAAATATATAGAAAATAGGAAAGAACTCGTTTGGTAAATAATCCAAAGTTCTTTAGTATTTTTTTTATTTATATATATATATATATATATATATATATATATATATATATATATATATATATATATATATATATATATATATATATAAGAAAGAGATGTTATCGATGTTCCAACGAGAGAAAAGTGTATATTTTAAAGAGAAGAATAAAGCCACAAACGTTTTGGGGTATAATGTGAATTTTTAAAATATATTTTATTTTCCATGGAAAATAAGGTGAAGTATAATATATATTTAAAATGGCACATTATAGCCAAAAACGTTTGCGGCTTCATTCTTCTGTGTGTGGGGGGGGATGCGTGCGTGTTTCTGTGTGTGAGTGTGTGCGTTTGTGTGTGAGAGTGTGATTGTGTGTGTTTGTGTGTTTGAGTGTGTGTATGTATTTGTGCGTGTGAGTGTATGTGTGTGTGAGAGTGTGATTGTGTGTGAGTATGTGTGTGTGTGTGAAGCAAGCGTTGTTCGTGCGAGTGTGTGCGTGCGTGTATGTGTGTGTGAGTATTTTCCGTTCGCTATTTCTTCTGTCTATCTCATTCACAAAAATCTGTGTACACGTTCCGTGATAATTACTCGCCGGTCGTATTGAGGAGGCAAACGTTGTCCTTTCCATGGCAAGAAAGTCACACGTCTACAAAACAGACGACTGCCATGCGGGCAACAACGGAGACACAGAAAAAAAAAATTACCCGGCAATAGTAGGTCACTTCCGGCCCAGAAAAGTAAGCACGCAGACACGTACTCTTGCTCAGAGGTTCGGGTAAATTAATGGGGAAAATAAATGCTTGCCTCAAAGAAAGTCACAAGAATTGATAACAGTGAAGTTCTTCGGCTCTTGGTAACGGGATGACAAGTCAGATGTATAAAACACCATGAGAAAAACGGGAAATATTGATTTATTTGAAAATCTATCAATCGATGTAATTATCAATCGCGTTCTGTTCATATCTATCTAACGATCGATATCATACTAGTTGTTTATATCAATATCCCTATGTGTTTATCTAAGTCTTTTCATATGTATCTATCTGAGGCTATTTTTATCTATCAATCTATCTATCTATGTATGTATCTATCTCAGTTTGTTCATTTGTCTATCAATCTCTCTCTCTCAGTCTGTTCATATATATATATATATATATATATATATATATATATATATATATATATATATCGATGTATCTATCTTAGTCTCTTATATCTATCTTACTATCTCAGTATCTATCTATCTATCTATCTATCTATTTCAGTTTGTTTATTATCTATCTCTCTGATTCTCTTCGTATCTATCTATTTATCTAAGTCTCTTCATATCTTCATATCTATCTATCCCTCTTTATATCTATCTATCTTCTTATCTGTCTGTATACCTTTATATCTTACGGCGTTGAGCAAATGACTGAAACCGAGCTGCCAGATCAGCACTTATAATATTGTTGATTCTTCTTTGGGTCTTATTAAGGAGATCCAGGTAAACAGCAGGGTCACCGAACCATATACGGCAGCAATATTCTAAACATGGACGAATGGTAGATTTATAGATATGCAAGATAGATTCCGTTGAGAAAATTTTCTCGCCCAACACAGTAAACAGACTTTCTTAACAGCTGACCTCGCAATGGATTCAGTATATTGTTTCCACCTCATGTCTGCTGGGAATGTTAGCCCGAAAACACGCAATGAATTTTCCTGTAGGTTAGCATCAGCCATGCTGATAAAAAGCAGAGAGATCTCTAAGATAATTAATGGAGAGCAGTTTAGTTACGGAGGCGTTAAAATTGAGAAGCCATCTTTTGCCCCAGTTAACGACGGAATTGAGGTCGTTTTGTATATCGGCTGCCATTTACACCTTTATCTGATTGATCAGCCTTACTATCAAGGTAGGAGTAAGGAGTAATGTCGTCACTGTAGATGCCAAATTGAGAGCTGATGGCATCAGAAAGTTCGTTAATGAAGATTAAAAACAGCGTAGGACCAAGGAATCGAGCTCTGGCGGACACACACGACTGTACGAAAGGTTGTAGACAAGTGGTCATTCAAGATAACCTTCATTACACGAATTGATAGGAACGATTTGATCAGTATCAAAACGTACCCAGAAATACCGTAGCTTTTCAGCGTGTGAAGAAGACCTTTCAGAGGCTTTGTTGATGTATCTATGCAGCTATTTCTTTTCATATCTATCTATCTATCTATCTATCTATCTATCTCAACCTGTCCAATGTCTATCTTTCTATTTATCTATGTCTGTTCATATCTATCTATCTATCTATCTATCTATCTCAATTTCTTCATTATCTATCTATCTATCTATCTATCTATCTATCTATCTATCTATCTATCTATCTATCTCAATCTCTTCATTATCTATCTATCTATCTATCTATCTCTTCATTATCTATCTATCTATCTATCTATCTTCATTATCTATCTATCTATCTATCTATCTATCTATCTATCTCAATCATTCATCTATCTATCTATCTATCTATCTATCTATCTATCTATCTATCTAAGTTTGATTGAAGACAAACAAAAGTCAATTGGTTTATTTCTAACATTTTCGTCATTTTCTGATGAAAATATAAATTTCATAAATACGTTTGGATTGAAGAATCGGAGAGCCGAGTTCGAATTCCAATCGAATCCATTCATTTACGTGCTAATACCTTCTCTTGATACCAGACCAGTCGGGGTTCAGTCGCGACCTGAAGTGATCGGATGTTGAGCCACACTGATAAGCGGCGAAACAGTCTGTCTGTCGATGACTATATATATATATATATATATATATATATATATATATATACTATAACTGTTCAAATCGCGTAAAAGAATGGGATAATTATACGTCCAAAGGAATGTTTAATATCTAAAGAGCCCTTAAACAAATTGAGTTTCTTTTTTTCTAAGTTTTCACATTAAGACGTTTAGCCCTTTGTCGTAAGAATCCCAGAAAAAACCTTTGACTTATTCCGCTAGAAAGAGAACAGGTTAAAATCATTTTGCGTCAACCCCACTATGTCTTCTCAAATGAGCAATGGTGAGAGGAAAAAGATCATTCAGGCCTTCAATAATGGTACCAACATTCATACTCTGGCTTCCATCTTCAAAGTCCATTCAAGAAGCATCAAGAGAATGGCGAATAAGTTTAATAAAGAGGAACAGTAGAGAAGAACTTTTTTTCTTTTTAATTTCTCAAAGAAAAGTCCATTAGTGTTATAAAACCTCGGTGAATTGCAGTATGATATACTCAATCATTTCTAAGATACAAATCTTATTTTAAACAATCGAACAATTTTGTTGTTACACGATTTTATTCCCCCCATTCCATTTGATATATATATATATATATATATATATATATATATATATATATATATATATATATATATATGTAGTCGACTCTCCCGTCGAATTCGACGTATGAGGGTCAAGCAGAGCAGTTCCCAGGAAACCGACAGCCCGACAACAGCACATGAGATTTGATTATAGTTGTGAAGGTTTCGTGCTGGACCATCCACACTTTTTGAAGGGCCGAATACAGAGACTTGGTGCACTACGTGCCACAAGGTCCCCAAACGACCCTCCGCAGGTTTTGAATTCAGAGTTGTCCTTTCCTAGACTATATATATATATATATATATATATATATATATATATATATATATATATATATATATTGTGCCAACAGATCTGTCGCTGTGACTGACCAGACGATGTGAGTATATCAATGATATCATTTGCTTTGAAGTGGACACCTAACCCTCTTTCTTTCTTTTGACCTCTTTCCGAAGGTGACTGATATCTTGATACAAACTAACTCGTATGCCCCTAATCAAAAGGGTCGTTTTCATAGTAATTAATTTTTTATATATATATATATATATATATTGACTATATATAAGTATATATATATATGTATATATTATAACTATTGACTATATATATGTGTGTCTATATATATGTATATATTATAACCATTCCTTGTGCAAAATAAACGCTTATTGCGTCATGAATCTACGAAGTTATTCACAGATCTACATATACACAGGCACACACGCACATTTAAGTACATTTAAAAATATACACCCATATATTCACTTATACTTCTGCACGTACATACACGTACATACACGAGCACACGCGCACATTACATATGTTTCCTTTTGTGTGGGTTGACTGAAGGAAACACGTGTCTCAAATACTAAGACGGGGATCTTGTAAAGTACAAGATGTAAACACTTTAGATATAGAATTTGGTTCATCACGAGGAAATTAATTGCTTATTTGTGAAAGTATTTTATAGTGTTCGGTATTTTATATATTAGGGACGGGAATATACAAATTGGGCAAAATATACATCGAAGATACATAGAAACTGGGAAATATAGACGTAGATATGTTGTCGATTAAAGACACTGTGCCAAAACGCGGACGACATGTAGATAGATTGAAAGATAAAAAGGAAGGAAATAAAGAAAGAAAGAAAGGGAGAGACGAAAAATGAAAAGAAAAAAGAAGAAAGATGTAAAGAAGGAAAGAAGCGAGATAAAAGAAATGAAGGAAAGAAAGAAAAGAGACAGGGGAAAAATGAAGGAAAGAAAGAAAAAGAGAGAGGAAAAAGATGAAGGAAAGAAAGAAAAAGAGAGAGGAAAAATGAAGGAAAGAAAGAAAAAGAGAGAAGTAAAATGAAGGAAAGAAAGAAAAGAGAAAGGAAAAAATGAAGGAAAGAAAGAAGAGAAAGTGGAAGAAGAGAAAGAAAGAAAAAATAATGAGAGGGAGAAAAAAGTAAACAGAAAGGGAGGGGGTGAAATGAAGGAAAAAGGAGGAAGAAATGAAAGAATGTATAAAGAAGGAGAGGAAGGAACGCAGAGAGAGAGAAAGGAAGAAGGAAAGGAGAGAGAGAGAGACGAAAGAATAGAAAGGGAAAAGAAGGAAGAAAGTAAAGAAATTAAGGAAGGCAGGGGGGAGAATGAGAGGAAATAAGGAAATGAGAAAGAAAGAAAGAAAGAAAGAAAGAAAGAAAGAAAGAAAGAAAGAAAGAAAGAAAGAACAAGAGAAGATAGAAAGGAAAGTAAGAAGCAAGTAATAAAAAAATGACGGGGGAAAATGAACAGAGAAATGAAGAAAAAGAGGAAGAAAGAAAGAAAGAAGAAAGAATGAGAGGAAAAAAAGACAGGAAGAGAGGGAGAAAAAAAGAAAAGAGAGAAAGAAAAAATAAAAGAAAGTAGAAAGAATGAGGGGAAGGACTGAAAGAAAGAAAGAAAGAAAGAAAGAAAGAAAGAAAGAAAGAAAGAAAGAAAGGGTAAAGGAATCAAACGAAAAGAAAGAAAGAAAGAAAGGGTAAAGGAATCAAACGAAAAGAAAGAAAGAAAGAAAGAAAGAAAGAAAGAGTAAAGGAATCAAACAGAAAGAAAGAAAGATGGCGAGAAGATATAAAGGCGGGAAGAAAGAAAAAGAAAGAAAAACGTTTCGATGTATGATTAGTGTTATTAACTGAGACCGAGATTGTACTTCAATTGTATTTATTTTACACAAATGCTTTCAGGAAAGGCGTGACACCTCTTCTCCCTGATATCTGTTCCATCGCCAGATAACTTTCAGAAAAGTGTCCCTATTACCTGCATATCACTATGTTTATCAGAAAAGAATGGACGGAAGATTATTTGCACCTGCATTTCTTCCATAATAACCAACCCAGGAAAAGGAAAAAAAAAAGCTGTTGCACCTATTTTCACCATTGACATAAAACAACCATCATCTAAACTTGTGGCTACCTCGATCTCTTATCATTATATTGAATAAACTCTTGAGTAAAGAGTTTATACACACACTTTCTCATTTAAAGGTGGAAAATAGGTGTCATTATTATTGTCAAATATCGAGAAAGTTACACGGAGAATATAGAAGAGATTTAGAGTAAAGAAGACCAATTTGGGCTTAACACATTTCCCGTTAGCACACATCGAGAAGCGAGCTTATTGGTGACAGCTTGTGAGCTCAGCAAGTCCACCAATCATTGTATTATAACGAGTAACAAACCCTTCCTCATAGACGAAACGTTTCAAGTATCTCTGTACTTTATCGCTATTTCCATGGCAAATGTTCAGACGAGCTACATTCCTTAGTTCCACCAGTTCAGACCTTCACAGCTAGAACCAACCATGCCTCCTATACAAGATGGAATCACTCTCATTCCCTTCGTATTCCATTGATAAATAAGAAGTTCTACTCAGGCATCTTCATGCCGAGAATTGCGACAAACGTCAGGGTGGATGCGTGCCCGACCACTAGAATCATGTTTAGGGCCAACCGTCATCTATGCTATGTATACTTATAATCTTCACTTAGTTCTTTCTCTTACGTTCAACCACAAGCAGAAAGAATTTTCATTGACTGGCGCCAGGCTATTGTACTGGGTGAATATATAGTAAAAGAAAAAGGTAATAGGCAGAGTTAACTAAAAGTACTAATTTACAATACTTGCATATATAAGTGAGTACCTACACACGCGCAAACTCAACCAGGCACCGACAGGGAAGTGCAGATAGATAGATAGATAGATAGATAGATAGATAGATCTATTTAACTTTGATGTAATAGATAGATAGATATTAACATAGTGAGCTAATAAATAGATAAATATTAACAAAGATAGATAGATAAATACATACATAGATAGATAGGTCTATTTAACTTTGATCTAATAGATAGATAGATATTAACATAGTGAGCTAATAAATAGATAAATATTAACAAAGATAGATAGATAAATACATACATAGATAGATAGGTCTATTTAACTTTGATCTAATAGATAGATAGATAGATAGATAGATAGATAGATCTATTTAACTTTGATCCAATCGATAGATAGATAGATAGATAGATAGATAGATAAATCTATTTAACTTTGATTTAATAGATAGATAGATAGATAGATAGATAGATAGATAGATAGATCTATTTAACTTTAATCTAATAGATAGATAGATAGATATTAACATAGTGAGCTAAAAATACATAAATATTAACAAAGATAGATAGATGGATAGATACATACATAGATAGATATTAACAAAGATAGATAGATAAATACATACATACATAAATATTAACAAAGATAGATAGATATATAGATATTAACATAGATAGATAGATAGATAGATAGATAGATAGATAGATAGATAGATAGATAGATAGATCTATTTAACTTTGAACCTGTAGATATATAGATAGAGAGATAGATGGGCTGAACTTCTTTTACTATAGACAAATACATACACGCCTTTAAGCATCGTTCTGCACAATTGGCTCCCCGCGTACTCTTGTACATGTGTACAAATTATCAGCGAGAAATCGTGGGCGTCGTCGAGTGTTTATTTTCTAAAACCAGCTGGTCCAGAAAAGTCTATCACTGGCTAAAGCCTTAGAAAGCGCCTCGTTTTAATATAAGTAAAAATCACGGGCTTCATCATTTTCGTCTCCCTGTCAACACCTTTGATGTTCAAATGTAATTATCAAAGAATCCTTCACGAGAGCAGATCAATAAATCTGTAGTCAGTAAGAATTTGTCACTTCATTATGAATACTAATCAACTTGATTAGTATTCAACTAAGTGCATTGACAGGTAAAGTGATTGTGTTGAAAAGGAAGTATGTCGTATCTCAAATAAATGTTCATTATGTTATGAACATATTGATGGACCTCCGTACACACACACTCGCGCGCGCGCTCACACACACACTCGCTCGCGCGCACACACACACACTCGCTCGCGCGCACACACACACACAATTTGGAGAAGAAAACTAAAGAAAAAAGAAATGGTAATGATAGTGAAGGCAACCATGCGAAAAAAGAAAGAAATTAAAAACGAACGAATAAATGAATGAATGAATGAATGAAAGAAAGAAAGAAAGAAAGAAAGAAAGAAAGAAAGAAAGAAAGAAAGAAAGAAAGAGACTCAAAGCAATGGAGAAAGGAAGAAATTTAAAACAGCAGAAAACAAAGAGAAAAGAACGAAAGAAGAAATAAAAAACGAGAAAGAAAGATAGAAAGAAATGATTGAAAACTACACAGAAAGAAATTAAAAATGAGAAGGAAAAAAGAAAGAAAGAAAAAAGAAATCAAAAACCCGAAAGAAAGAAAGAAACGAAGACGACAAAGAAAGAAAGAAAGGTGTTAACCATGATCAACATAAAGAAAAATATATATATATATATATATATATATATATATATATATGAAACAATGTTTTATAGTGCATAAAAGCATAAAATTTGAAATATTTATCAGGGAAGTTCTGTCAAACTTTACATTGAGCGACATTGCAATAAAAATAAATCGTGGAGCGCCATGATCGCACACATAAAAGAAGAAAAGTCGTTGCGGAGACAGATATAAACATTGGATAGGGACAGTACTTTTCATGCCTTAATATATATATATATATATATATATATATATATATATATATATATATATATATATATATATACAAATTCATTAACACCTATGAAAATGCGTAAAATTGGTAGAATTCAACGTATGTCGAGGCCAGCAGAACTTTACCATGATGCTCCACACTAGTAAGGAGAACGACGTAAAAAAAAACGCGTCATATTTGCAATCACATGCCTATTCTCGGAAAGGCAGTAAACTATAATGACTAACTGCAAAATTATTTTTAATTTTTAAGGGTCTCTAAAAAAATAATTTATTCACACAGAGAGAAAGAGAGAGAGAGAGAGAGAGAGAGAGAGAGGGAGGGGATTTGTTTTAGTTGTTAAATGAGGTTTGTTTAAATGTTAAGGACGAATTTCAAGAATTTTTTCTTTTTTCTTTCTATTTCATCAGCCCGCCAAGATATAAATTACATCGTGTTTAACGAAACTCATAAAGCTGGCTTAATGAGTAAAGGACGCAATGTCCCTTAACACAGTAAAATAAAAACAGGCTGTCGACACTCTTTTTTTATTTTAAGATAATGTTTAGAATAAGGCTCTTCTGCGTCGATCAATGACAAAAATATTTGGAAAACTTGTCAGACAGCTGATGACTTATTAAAGCAGATTCGTTTTCCATATCTACACCAACCCGTGTAAGAAACATGAAAACCCCTCTCTCTCTCTCTCTCTCTCTCTCTCTCTCTCTCTCAGCCTCCCTTCAAAATGTTGGCGATCATGTCTCTCCACAGCGTCTCTTTTATAACTCCTCTTTCGGGGTCTGGTGCTCCTGATATTTACACAAATAAACCAGAATCAGTTATTATTAAATGAATCACTTTCTTTCGATGTATCGTGTGAGTGCTGAGTTCGTGAAGTCATTTTTTTTTTCGAACAGATAATGAACAGGCTTAGATAGATAGATAGATAGATAGATAGATAGATAGATAGATAGATAGATAGATAGATAGTGAACAGGCTTATAGATAGATAATGAACAGGCTTTTTTTCTCCAGAATATCAGCTGTGCGTTTTTTTTTAATATTTTGACGTGCAGTTCGTTTGTAGTTGCTGTTTTTTATAACCTCTCCGTGTTGCACATGCTCTGTCGATGTTATGCTCAACATTTGTCAGGAGAACCTCATCTCTGTCGCTGCAGAGGGAGAGAGTTTCATAAACATATGCATATATAAACAATTAGAATGATACATGCTAACATGAATACAAAAACACTCACGTTCCAATAGGAATACTGGTATTAGATAGATAGATAGATAGATAGATAGATAGATAGATAGATAGATAGATAGATAGATAGATAATGAAGAGGCTTAGATAGATAGATAGATAGATAGATAGATAGATAGATAGATAGATAGATAGATAGATAATGAGAGGCTTAGATAGATAGATAGATAGATAGATAGATAGATAGATAGATAGATAGATAGATAGATAGATAGATAGATAGATAACAACCTAAATAAAGCCACTCTCCTTATCCTTGCTAAATTTCATCTGACAGATGTACTTCCAGAGGCCGAAATGTCAATGAAATCTTTCACGTTAATCTTTCTACATGGCATCAATGTAACAAGAAAAAGCGAAAAGAGATTATCTTGGAGGAAGAGAGAAACGCCGTTGTGTGGAATGAGAAGGGAACGCCTATGTAGGCTTTACAATTCCTACGTGCGAGAAGAAGACGCGTATATGATCATCTCCGTTGTAGAAACCTCATTAAGATGTCCCTAAAGAAAGGAGACGATATAATTGTACGTGTAGATTGTCGATCAATGGTAGCGTTTACCAGTCAAGTCATCAAGACAGTTTGGCAGAGAGATGGACAGACGATAGAAAGGAACGACTTTCATATACGCGTTGTTAGCCGATGTAAATAAAGAAAAACAGGCACACACAATAGGAAGACACGCACGCAAACACACACACATATATATTTATATATATATACACGTTTTTTTGCATTCAGCTTTCTTTCGTTGTATGCATATATGCATTTCCTTATATATGTGGTTAGATAAATATATACAGAGTGAGAGAGAGAGAGCGAGATAAATAGACATAGATAGATAGATAGATAGATAGATAGATAGATAGATAGATAGATAGATAATGAACAGACTCAGATAGATAGATAGATAGATAGATAGATAGATAGATAGATAGATAATGAACAGGCTTAGATAGATAGATAGATAGATAGATAGATAGATAGATAGATAGATAATGAACAGACTCAGATAGATAGATAGATAGATAGATAGATAGATAGATAGATAGATAGATAGATAGATAGATAATGAACAGACTCAGATAGATAGATAGATAGATAGATAGATAGATAGATAGATGAATAGATAATGAACAGACTCAGATAGATAGATAGATAGATAGATAGATAGATAGATAGATAGATAGATAGATAGATAGATAGATAATGAACAGACTCAGATAGATAGATAGATAGGATGGATGATAGATAGATAGATAGATAGATAGATAATGAACAGACTCAGATAGATAGATAGATAGATAGATAATGAACAGACTCAGATAGATAGATAGATAGATAGATAGATAGATAGATGGATAGATAGATAATGAACAGACTCAGATAGATAGATAGAATGGATAGATGGATAGATAGATAGATAGATAGATGGATAGATAATGAACAGACTCAGATAGATAGATAGATAGATAGATGATAGATAGATAGATAGATAGATAGATAGATAATGAACAGACTCAGATAGATAGATAGATAGATAGATAGATAGATAGATAGATAGATAGATAGATAATGAACAGACTCAGATAGATAGATAGATAGATAGATAGATAGATAGATAATGAACAGACTCAGATAGATAGATAGATAGATAGATAGATAGATAGATAGATAGATAGATAATGAACAGACTCAGATAGATAGATAGATAGATAGATAGATAGATAGATAGATAGATAGATAGATAGATACTGATTTTTATCGGAAGCAAAAACTTGAAAGATAGACACAAAACAATCTTCTTAAAATACATCTATTTAGTTCGTGTGTGAACAGACCGATGTTGACATTCAAAGCCGATAAACTCTTCCCAGTATTGGCGCAACACAATCTTCTTAACTTCTTTTGCCCTATATGGGCCCATGCCAAACTTCGTAAGTATTTATATCTTGTGGTACTAATATAAACACGTATATATAGCAAAGACTAACATATAAGCCTGTCATATCATTGCATATGGTTTATCACTGCTATCGTATATACTGTCAGGTGGCTATTTATTTAGTTTTGCCTGGCAAAAGGCCAAAATTATAGAGTACCCAATCACGAACACACTCGTCATGGTCCTGCTAGCATAACGAACCAGTCATCGCTCTCCCACAATTATTATTATTGTTGTTGTTTCATTTCTGTTAAACATCCAAACCTCTCGGATCCCAACCAATTGCATCAAGTTCAAAATGGCATTATGACATTTTCCCTCTGTACATTTGTGTAAAGAAAAGATAAAGAAAATACATTGGTAGAGTCCTTCGTAGAGGGCAAGCTGTGCTTGTAACAACATTTTTTCCCTGTTTTTACAAGTGCAGCTCACACCCTACAAAGAGCCCTATGTAAAATGCGTATTATTGTTACTGTCCGTAGTCAATGGTTAGTTTATTATACGACAATGTAAAAACAGAACCCCAGTAATCTCTGAGCACCCTTTGCTGGCAATAGTTTATAAGATTGGCTCGAAAAACATTACTCTACGGCAGGTACCTGCTCAAATACAAATAGAGCCCCCTAAATAAACAAAAATAATTATATGTATGCTGCAGAGATGGACACCGTTTTTTTTTTTTTTTTATTATTATTATTGTTGTTTGTTTACAAATTACGTGTGTATTGTTAAGTACGCATTAACTTCCCCACCCCACTTCCTAGGCGCACACAAATATTAAGTTGTTTGATGTTTATATACACACTCTCAGAATAAATAAATATATATATATATATATATATATATATATATATATATATATATATGCATGGTAACATATTGAAAATAATATCTACGTCCCATAATCGCGTAGACGCAAGATAATCGATAAACATTGGACAAACACTAAAATGTCCATTTCAGTAATTGCGTAGATAGATTATTGGGACGGTGTTAGAAATTAATTGGTGTTAAATTTGATAAAATTTAGACTGATCATAAGCAAAGTAAGCACACTTGTCTTGTCTAAAACCAGGTTTAGGAGTTGATTTTTTTTTTTTTTTTTTTATGGGTAGAATATTTACCATTAATTATTATAACGTTGTTTAATTTATAGAACAGAATAAAAAATATGTTTTCGCTTTCACAGAATAAGAAAGAGAAATTCTTTACAGAGAAATTATTTGCACGACGTGATTAGACGGAAAATAATAGTTTGTATTGATACGGTAACTAACGCTAGTACAGGTGCGCGAACGACCAATGCTTGTAAACACAATTTTCGCACAACGCCAAACGAATCTTTTATACGCTGTTGAGAGAGTGTTGCCTGCACGTTAAATGCTTTTTTTTCTATCCACGATAAAAAAAAAACAAACTCTCTCCTCCTCTCTCCTCTCGATTTGTCCAACTTATTTTTAAATGATTATAACAGAAAAACGTAACTGCAAAACAGAGAGGCTTTCTTTTTTTTTCCTCTTTCAACAAGGGGCAACTTTGCAATATATGTGTGTGTGTATGTGGTAGAGGTAATTCTTTTTAGAGTGATAACGATTGTAACTTGCAATTTAATACTGAATTGACACATTTCGTTAGCGTAATGAACAAAATGGACAGGTGTGAATTTAACAAGAACGATTCAGGATGTATCTTTTTTTTTTTAAAAAAAAAATAGCTTACTTTAAATTGCGCATCATCTGATTTCATATCGTAAATGTTATTCCGACAATTTATGGAATTACTTTCATTTTATTTTAGTACTAATAGAAATCGGTTGTACGAAAAATCCAACAGTATTGAGTAAATCTAAAAACGGAAAACTCTAGAAAAATAAACATTAGCAATTAAAAAGTATAAAAAATTTAAAAAAAAAGGTTTAATGAATACTTTTTCTTATTTCAAGGTAGAAATTAAACAATCATGAAATATAAATTTAATGTAACTTTTAAAACTTACAATAAAATTCTCAATTTCAATAAACCTACAACACGAGTTCCCTAAGGACTAGGGTCATCACATGTACTACAGCTATAGCAGTGATGTGTCTAGGACAAGATAACCTGACGGAGACCATCCATCTTCAGGCTTGATTTGAATTCAGAGTTTTCCATCTCCTTAACTTGTTACAACTACAAGGCAAGAGATCCCAGTCAGCTATTTAACCCATAGTTGGGGGAAGAAAAGATGGATTCGTACCTTTCCCAAGAATATTTGTTCAAAACTGACCGTAACTTAGCCGGAATTCGAAACCGGACCGGCGAAATTTCTTTCTGAGGCAATGACCGTTACACTACACGCGAATCGATAATGAAATAAAATATAAAATTAAAAAAATAAATAAATAAAAATATATATTACATTTCAGTAATTTAGAAAATTTCTATTGGATTTATTCATTTTTAATTTTACGGAAAATGAATTTCACGATTAAAAACTAAAAATTGTAAAGTGTAAATTGAGGTTCTTTTAATATTTAAAAAAAAAATTATTTTCACTTTAAATATTACTTGATGTCGATATACGTTTGTATATATTTTTTTTTACAAATGTCTTCCTACAAAAGTGCATAGACAGTGCATTTATATATGCACTTTACAGATAGATAGATAGATAGATAGATAGATAGATAGATAGATAGGAAGGAAGGAAGGAGCAAACATAGATAGATAGATAGATAGATAGATAGATAGATAGATAGATAGATAGATAGATAGGAAAAAAGGAAGGAGCAAACATAGATAGATAGATAGAAAGAAAGGAAGGAGCAAACATAGATAGATAGATAGATAGATAGATAGATAGATAGATAGATAGGAAGGAAGGAAGGAAGGAGCAAACATAGATAGATAGATAGATAGATAGATAGATAGATAGATAGATAGATAGATAGATAGATAGATAGATATGCTTGCCTGAATCGAAGTGTTTGTTTTGGATATGTTCGAGCAAGTTCGCAAGTGCTTTAAGCGCAGACGACATCAAGCAAATAAATTAATAAACACAAAAAGAAAAAAAGAACAAAAACCAAACAAACGTTTAAATAGTTTGTTTATTTTTTTTTTTAAAGCAATTAAATTATTCACAAATTAAATTATGTTTCATTTGTTTATTTTTCTTTTTTGTTTGTTTTTGGAGTTGTTTGACAACGTTTTCTCCTACTCCCAGGAAAAAACAAATAAAAAAACAAAAAAAAAAAAACCTTTTTCACTTTCAGGTGTGCGTTCAGTTTGCTGTTCCCCAACCCTCAAAATATTAATAAAAAATAATAAAATAAAATAGCTGGTAACTTTTTAACACAACTATATTCATATATCTATATACCTCATCATTACAAACTTAACCTCTTCAAGTTGAGGGTCAACCGTTATCAATCCCCACAATATGCAACCATTTCTCTCTGACTACGCTTTTACAACAACCCTTTAGTAATCCTCTACCTTGAGTGGCACTTAGGCCTTGAATTGAGTGGAAAATAATAATAATATATGACTTTATTAATTATTGTCTTTTGTTGTTGTTATTGTTGTGTATGTATGAGCGTGTGTGTTTGTGTGTGCGAGAGTGTGTGTCATCGTTGTCGTGATGAAGTCGAGTGAAATACCATTTTTTTGTTGTTCTTTTGAAATACGTGAAATTCAAATGTAAGCGCATAGAAAGGCTTTTTTTTTTTTTTTTTTTTTTTCTTCTCCCCCCCCCCAAAAAAAAATGACTGAAAAGAAGCTTAGTTGCCGGGTAAATATATTTTGACTTACTCTTCGAATTCGTTTCCTTTGTATATAATCGGCTTGGAAAACTCTATCACCCGTCATTGGTATGTCCATTGTAGGTGCACAAGTGCCAGCTGAGCCGAGCACTGTTTTAACCTACGGCGCAAAACAACTCTAACTCTACAACAGGGCAGCCAGACCATAATATTTGACATGTGACGTCAGCCGTTTTTCCCCTCCTTCTTTACCGATCTCTTTATCTTTCTCCTCCCCCTACGCCCCCCTCCCTCCCCAAACAACGCACTCCTCACCGACGCTTCTGTCTTTTTTTTTTTTTTTCACCACCAACCTTTGCCATCAACTCCTTTTTTTCTCTTTGTCTCTTTTTTTCACACACACTCCCTCTCTCTCTCTTTTTCTTTCTTTCTTTCTCTCTCTTTCTCTCCCGATATTTTTGCTTTTTTTCACTCATTCTCTCACCATATCAGTCCGTGTGATTAGAATGAGATTAAAAAAGAAACGTGTGTGTTTGTGTGTGCGCGTGTGTATATATATATATATATATATATATATATATATATATATATATATATATATATATATATATATATATATATATATATATATATATATATATATGTGTGTGTGTGTGTGTGTGTGAGAGAGAGAGAGAGTTAAAATTTCAGATAGAATTTGTCTGTAAAAGAAAAAGGCAATATGAAAAATGACAAAAAGCGAAGATAAGTTTTTACTTTTGGCCAAAATAAGTTTTCCTTTTGTCTTAGTACACACACACACACACACACATATATATATATATATATATATATATATATATATATATATATATATATATATATATATATATATACATACATACATATTTCAAACCGTTTGTACTCACTTTCCCGCGAACTGCAATACCCCGCTTGCCGCCGCCAATGTTATTTGGTTTTAGACTGTGCCACCCTAAAAACTATCCTCTCTATCTATCTATCTATCTATCTATCTATCTATCTATCTATCTATCTATCTATCTATCTATCTATCCCCTTTTCTTTCTTTCTTTCTTTCTTTCTATCCATCGATCGATCGACATCCCTCTTTAAAACTGAAGTGTAAGACATGCCCACATAAAGATTCTCCACGTAAAAAAGAAACAAAAAAATACATGCGTTTTTTTCTTAATGTCCCATTTTTACATCTTCGAAGAAATTTCCCCGTTAAATCTCCATAGATCAATCAATCGATTCCTCTCCATATCTATCTTTCTATATATGTTCAATCAAAAAATGCCTTTTCGTTTTTATTTACATCGACTGGCACGATGATATTTTCTCGCTTTCTCTCTAGAAAGCTCCACCCCTTCCTTGTATCACTCATAACTCCTAATAATTCGTTCTTTTTCTCTCTTCTTTCTTCGTTTATTCTGTATTTCTCCAATCATGATTTAGCTTTCGTAGCCTTCCAGATTTTTCTTACTCTCTCTCTCTTTCTCTCTTTCTCTCTCACTCTCTCTCTCTCTCGTCCTAAGTCATAGCTTAACATGACACAAGGATACAATTACGGAGCGACGAGTGAGTCTGGAAATCTTTCTCTTGCGCCAAGATTAACCGTCTTCCAGATTAACGCGCTAACTCCTGCACCATGGCTACGATACAAACAGAAAATAATTCATAAATATCGTTGTTTTTTTTAAGGTTTTTATATTGTTATTGTTTTCCATTATTTTACATAAATAGATAAATAAGATAAATAAATAAACAAAAAAAACTTAATAATATATATTTTTAGGAAATTATTTAAAAAACCTAATTTATATTTTTTATATTTTTTTTAAATTTTAATAATTCAACTCAGACGTCTGTGGTTCGAGTGGGTTAGAGAACTGTAACGCGATAAATGAAATCGGTTGGATTCCAAATACTTTCTGATACAATTTATGTTCACATCGTAAAAATGTTGTCAGAAAAAGCATTTCACCTTTTCTCTCCCTAGCTATGGTACAAACAGCGGTCAGTCTAGGAGAACAACAGCCTTGAATATATAAAACATTGAATATATAAAACATTGAAATTTTCAAAAATATAACGAGAAATCGAATTCTCTTAAGAAGTCATAACAAGGCATAGTATTTTTTAAGAAAAGGGAGCTGTGGAGAGCCATGACCACCATTATGCATAAGGAACGTAGTATTTAAGGATGAAAATCAACCAAACGTATTTTAGGTTTTGAACTGAACAAAATAATTTCATGTGTAACAACTTTAAAAATATAGTATTTGTTATATATAGATAAAAGTGCATGCTGTCAGGGAATGAAGCGTATGTAAATACAAAAGATTGCATTTCAGAAGGGAAACAGACTGTCGCCATTCAGTGCTGACATCAGTGTCCACTTTTAAACTTATGTTGCGGGGTGGGGGATACTTTGAACATTTTATTTAATTGCATCGTTTTTCTTCTCTTGTTTGTGTACACAGGGAAACTTTTTTTTTACTGCGAATCTGTTCCCCACCCACTCATTGTATTTTAATTCCTTGCTTTTCACCCCACCTTCTTCTCTTCACTTTCTCCCCCCCCCCTCTCTCTCCCTCTCTTTCTCTCTCTCTCTCTCATACTCTCTCTCTCTTTCTCTCTTTCGTAGATGTTTTTCCTCCGCTGTTTTGCTCGTCTTCTTACTCCCCCCACTTCACCTTGTTTACATTTCTATCGCCCGTGCTCTTCCTCCCCTTTCACCCTTTTTCCGTTCAACTCCTTCTTCTTCTTCTTCTTCTTCTTCTTCTTCTTCTTCTTCTTCTTCTTCTCGCACCTCCCCTTCCCTTTGTTTATATTCTGTCATCCAACATCTTCCTCCTCCACTTCTTTCGTCCATGTCACCAATCTTCTTCTTCTTCTTCTTCTTCTTCTTCTTGCACTCCTTCTTGTTCATGCTCTCCTTCTCTTCCTTCATCTATACCACTGTAACTCTTCTCGTTCTCCCTCTAATCTTCTTCTTCTTCTTCTTCTTCTTCTTCTTCTTCTTCTTAGTCGTCGTCGTCGTTTTCTTGTTTATACATTTCTATTGTCAACGGTCTCCCATGACCTTTTTTTCCTTCTCTTTTTCCTTTTCTTCCTCTTTACCCTGTTACTCTTCTTCTTGACTCTCCTCTTCTTTGTTTATATTTCTATCGTCCACACTCCTCCTCCTTATCCTTTTCCTCCCCTTCCTTCTCCTTTCTCTCCTCCTTCTTCTCCTCCTCTCACTCACCCATCATCTCTTCGCTTGGTCATGGCGTCATTCTTCCCTTTTCCCATGTGACTTCTATCTTTCATCTTACATTTCTCGCACCTTCGGCGGAGCTCGAGAGAGAGAGAGAGAGAGAGAGAGAGAGAAAGAGAGAGAGAGAGAGAGAGAGAGTGGTTATTGTTTCAATTCTTCTACGAGCGTACACACACGTACAACAGTGGGGTCTGGGCGGGAGGGTACTTTCGGTTCATTCTTTCTTTCCGATTTACTTGTTTACGTGTATCTCTCACAAAACACCCTGAAAGCATTGGGAGCTCAACCTACACATCGTCCCCCTCCTCCTCCTCCTCCTTCTCTTCCTTCTCCTCCTCAACACCACCACGACTACTACTAATACTACTAGTTGCCATTTGCCGAATTCCCTGGACTATTGAGGATTTATCAAAAGACAGCAACAACAGATATTGTCATGACTGGTGTGTCTGAACAGACAATGTTTTTACCTTTTTACAGGCATTATAGGACACAATTATTAGCTAAATCACGTAGATAGCAGAACTACAATAGTAATTATTATTTTCATTGAGTGAGACAGCAGTGCAGTAACAAATCGACATTAGAGTACACATATGGTGGACTCTCCCGTCGTATTCGACGTATGAGGGTCAAGCAGATCAGATCCTAGGAATCGACAGCCCGACAACAGCACATGAGAATTGATTATAGTGGTGAAGGTTCCGTGCAGAACCATCCACACATTTTGAAGGGCCGAATATAGAGACCTGGTGCACTACGTGCCACAAGGTCCCCAAACGACCCTCCGCAGGTTTTGAATTCAGAGTTGTCCTCCTTTTAGACCAGTTGCCATCTAAGGCTATAGAACCCAGTCTGTCCTGCCATTTACCCATAGCTGGGGGTAGAAGAAGAGGATTCGTGCATTTCCCAAGTGTATTAGCACGTAAGTGAATGTAATGGATTCGACTTGAATTCGAACTCAGCTCTCTGATTCCTCAATCCGAGCTGCTAGTCTCTTCCCAATATATGAAGATACCTACTCTGCTAAGGGTGGAAGAGGCACATTCATCACAGCCAAATTATTATTATTATTATTATTATTATTTCCTTTGATTTCTGGTGGGGTACTCATTTCTTTCCGTGTCCCGACCAGAAACCTAAGGTCAGAAATGGCATCATTATATTTTCCTATGAGCAATTTTGAAGAAAACAACACATATATTTTGCAGAGACAAAGCCCTTCGTAAGATATGGGTTATAATCGTGGGAACAATTTTTATGTTTCTTTAAGGATACCAGAGATCAATGAGTCTGTTGGAATCTCTTCCAACTAATCTGAGGTCTCCAATTATAACTGGAATTGTTAATGTTCTCAAGTGCCACATTTTGGAGACATCGATTTCAAGTTCCTTGTATTTTGATAGCTTTTTGAAAATCCCTCAAAGATACATTACAGTGGGCAGGGACTGCCATATCAATTGTTTGGGGGGTGCTGCTTTTTTTTTTTTTTTTTTTGCTGTCTCTAATAACGATGTCTTGGCGATTAGCTTTCATTGTTTTGTCTGCGTGTATTGTAGTCCCATTAAATTGTAACAGGTCACATCTCCATTAGCGTATATTATTATTATTATTATTTTTGTATTATTATTATTATTATTATTATTGTACTTTCCCCCTCCTTCGTTAGTTTGCACGACCGTTACGTCCTGCCAATACCTCGTAAATAATTGAATATTCCGTTTTGATCGCGTGGAAAGAGAGGGGAAGACATTACTTGTTTTCAATTAGAAAAGGAAAGAAAGATTGAAGTTGAGAGAGAGAGAGAGAGAGAGAGAGAGAGAGAGAAAGACAGAGAGAGAGAAAGAGAGAGAGAGAGAGAATCAGATTAAGCTGATAGGAACAGATACCACACTTTGATCTTAGCTAAACGGCCGAGGAGCGATTGTATTTTCATGTCGCGCTACGCTGGCAGGCAGGATGTGACACAAGGTCAGTTTAATGTGGGGAAACCGGCGAGTACACCTGGGCAAGATTCAAGAATAGCTCGTCGGTTGTTCTCGCATTGGTATTACTATCGACCTCACCCCCTCTTTATTGCAATGAGGGAAGTACTGGCGCGGCAACTCTTTCCCGAAACCGGACACCTCTCAATAATATTTTCATTTGGGCACTGTCCGAAATCGGAAGCACAACTGAGAGATGAAATGCACTTTTATCCGCCCGAGGCCATATATTGCAATTTGAGCCCAACCAAAAGCTGACAAGCGATGGCTATTGCGATGAAACCTTCATTTTTTTTTTCAGACGCACTGTATCGAATGACGGATTGCTTTACCAAGTAAGGCAATCGCCAAAAATCTAGTTACCATAAATCTGCTGAATTATTTTTAGATTATTATTAAGAGAAATGTTCGGAGGGCGGGGATTTAACTAGGTATTATTATTATTATTATTATTATTAATAGTGAGTGAAAAGAGAAACTTGCCAACAGCTGGAGTACACATATATGAAGCCCAGTATACCAACCATTATAATTTGCCAGATAAGGGGATAGACATGTTATCATTATTATCATTTGTATAGGGTATGTTTCCTCCTGTAGAGCCGGGTCTCAACTATGGTCCTTAGGCCCTATAAGAGATTTCTTATTTAATTCATAGCACTTTTCTTATTATATGGGATGTTCCTAGTAGGGCGATGTTCTGCGTAACTTGTGTTTTGATGTAGCCTGGAACACTATTATTAAAATTGTCCATTCCTTTTCTCACGAGGCCCAGTGCTCCGATTATTATTGGTACAATCTCAGTCTTCATTCCCCACATCCTGAATTTGTCTTTTAAGATAATACCAGGTCAGTTGGTATTTATTTTGCTGTCACTTTGATTGAATGAGAAAGAAATACGCCATCAAATTGATGATGTCGCACAAATGTACGAAGCCCAGGGTACCCATAATGACACCTAGGTTGATAAGGGTGTACCAGGCGTATGTATAATAGAGCAGTAGATATCACGTGGAAGCTGAATTAGAAATATGTCCAGGTAGTTTTCATCTAGTCTACTAAGACGGTAGCCGATTAAAAGTGCTCCCAGCTATCTAAAGGTGGCTCCTAATTCCCCTCGGCTGCCTCAACTTTTAAAAAATCGTTATGATACTTTCCTACTTCTCCTGCCCATGAACAGATGAATGCCATTAAGCCGAGTTGCAGTGGGGATGTCTATGTAGTTAAGGTTAGGCAATCGACAAGCAAATCTGTACATTTTAACACCATCAACAAAGATCAAAAGCCACGAGAACCATTCCATGGGTACCATCAGGGCATGTATTATTATTATTATTATTATTGAGTGAAAAAGCAGTACAAATTATAGGAAGCCCAATGTACCCAATATGACAGCCAGGTTGACAAGGATATACATAGCACATGCTAGATTTTAGTAAAAGTTATTATTGTATGTGATATCATCTTGCCAGAGATTAATTTTAAGAGACTAATTAACCATCATCATCCTTCGACCTCCCTATGGTTGGTCAGAACTTCAGGGACAATCCGTTTCCACGCTGTTCCGTCCTGCATTGCTATCCCTAGATCCCAAATATCAACCCTGATTCCCGAGCTATAGTGTCTGGAAAAGTCAATTTTCGTGAGAAGACATTTCCAGAAGGATGCCATAGAGTAAGGATGGGACAACTGCACTGTCCATTCCGTAACAGTGGCCGTCACCTCATATCTCTTACTTTCTCTCTCACTCATCTATTGCTTAATATCTTTTCTTTCTCTTACTCTCTCCCCTCTCTTTCTCTTCATGTCTCTTCATCAGCATCATCATCCTCATCATCATCCTTCGAGCTCCCCTATGGATTTGGTCCGAACTCCATTGACAATCCCATTCCACACTGTTCAGTCCTGCATTGCTATCCCTAGATCCCAAATATCCAAACCTGAATCCCTGAGTTATAGTGTCTGGAAAAGTCAATTTTCGTGAGAAGACATTTCCAGAAGGATGCCATACGAGTAAGGATGGGACAACTGCACTGTCCATTCCGTAACAGTGGCCGTCACACTCATATCTCTTACTTTCTCTCTCACTCATCTATTGCTTAATATCTTTTTCTTTCTCTTACTCTCTCCCCCTCTCTTTCTCTTCATGTCTCTTCATCAGCATCATCATCCTCATCATCATCCTTCGAGCTCCCTATGGTTGGTCCGAACTCCATTGACAATCCCTTTCCACGCTGTTCAGTCCTGCATTGCTATCCCTAGATCCCAAATATCCAAACCTGAATCCCGAGTTATAGTGTCTGGAAAAGTCAATTTTCGTGAGAAGACATTTCCAGAAGGATGCCCATACGAGTAAGGATGGGACAACTGCACTGTCCATTCCGTAACAGTGGCCGTCACACTCATATCTCTTACTTTCTCTCTCACTCATCTATTGCTTAATATCTTTTTCTTTCTCTTACTCTCTCCCCCTCTCTTTCTCTTCGTGTCTCTTCATCAGCATCATCATCCTCATCATCATCCTTCGAGCTCCCTATGGTTGGTCCGAACTCCATTGACAATCCCATTCCACACTGTTCAGTACTGCATTGCTATCCCTAGATCCCAAATATCCAAACCTGAATCCCGAGTTATAGTGTCTGGAAAAGTCAATTTTCGTGAGAAGACATTTCAGAAGGATGCCATACGAGTAAGGATGGGACAACTGCACTGTCCATTCCGTAACAGTGGCCGTCACACTCATATCTCTTACTTTCTCTCTCACTCATCTATTGCTTAATATCTTTTTCTTTCTCTTACTCTCTCCCCCTCTCTTTCTCTTCATGTCTCTTCATCAGCATCATCATCCTCATCATCATCCTTCGAGCTCCCTATGGTTGGTCCGAACTCCATTGACAATCCCTTTCCACGCTGTTCAGTCCTGCATTGCTATCCCTAGATCCCAAATATCCAAACCTGAATCCCGAGTTATAGTGTCTGGAAAAGTCAATTTTCGTGAGAAGACATTTCCAGAAGGATGCCATACGAGTAAGGATGGGACAACTGCACTGTCCATTCCGTAACAGTGGCCGTCACACTCATATCTCTTACTTTCTCTCTCACTCATCTATTGCTTAATATCTTTTTTTCTCTTACTCTCTCCCCCTCTTTCTCTTCATGTCTCTTCATCAGCATCATCATCCTCATCACCATCCTTCGACCTCCCTATCGTTGGTCGGAACTCCATTGACAATCCCATTCCACACTGTTCAGTCCTGCATTGCTATCCCTAGATCCCAAATATCCAAACCTGAATCCCGAGTTATAGTGTCTGGAAAAAGTCAATTTTCGTGAGAAGACATTTCAGAAGGATGCCATACGAGTAAGGATGGGACAACTGCACTGTCCATTCCGTGACAGTGGCCGTCACACTCATATCTCTTACTTTCTCTCTCACTCATCTATTGCTTAATATCTTTTTCTTTCTCTTACTCTCTCCCCCTCTCTTTCTCTTCATGTCTCTTCATCAGCATCATCATCCTCATCATCATCCTTCGAGCTCCCTATCGTTGGTCGGAACTCCATTGACAATCCCATTCCACACTGTTCAGTCCTGCATTGCTATCCCTAGATCCCAAATATCCAAACCTGAATCCCGAGTTATAGTGTCTGGAAAAGTCAATTTTCGTGAGAAGACATTTCCAGAAGGATGCCATACGAGTAAGGATGGGACAACTGCACTGTCCATTCCGTGACAGTGGCCGTCACACTCATATCTCTTACTTTCTCTCTCACTCATCTATTGCTTAATATCTTTTTCTTTCTCTTACTCTCTCCCCCTCTCTTTCTCTTCATGTCTCTTCATCAGCATCATCATCCTCATCATCATCCTTCGAGCTCCCTATGGTTGGTCCGAACTCCACTGACAATCCCTTTCCACAATGTTCAGTCCTGCATTGCTATCCCTAGATCCCAAATATCCAAACCTGAATCCCGAGTTATAGTGTCTGGAAAAGTCAATTTTCGTGAGAAGACATTTCCAGAAGGATGCCATACGAGTAAGGATGGGACAACTGCACTGTCCATTCCGTAACAGTGGCCGTCACACTCATATCTCTTACTTTCTCTCTCACTCATCTATTGCTTAATATCTTTTTCTTTCTCTTACTCTCTCCCCCTCTCTTTCTCTTCATGTCTCTTCATCAGCATCATCATCCTCATCATCATCCTTCGAGCTCCCTATGGTTGGTCCGAACTCCATTGACAATCCCTTTCCACACTGTTCAGTCCTGCATTGCTATCCCTAGATCCCAAATATCCAACCCTGATTCCCGAGCTATAGTGTCTGGAAAAGTCAATTTTCGTGAGAAGACATTTCCAGAAGGATGCCATACGAGTAAGGATGGGACAACTGCACTGTCCATTCCGTAACAGTGGCCGTCACACTCATATCTCTTACTTTCTCTCTCACTCATCTATTGCTTAATATCTCTTTCTTTCCCTTTCTCTCTCTCTCTCTCTCTCTCTCTCTCTCTCTCTGTTTTATTGCTTCATATCTCTTCTTCTTCTTCATCATTCACCATCATCATCCTCCTTTGACCTCCCAGTGGTTGGTCAGAACTTTTTATGCTGCTTGGTCCTGCATTGCCGTCCCCAGATTCCCAATGTTCAACCCTGACTTTCCAGCCATGGTGTCTTTCGTGAGAAGACATCTCCAGAAGGATGCCATAGGAATAAGAATGAGACAATCTTGCTGTCCTCTCAGTGGCAGTAGCTGGCAAACTGCAATCACTTTTGTTTGAGCTAAAGAGAGATTCATCTCAGTTCTCTATAAATTGTCTTAAGCATTGTATGGGATCTCCAACTGATGTTCTTGATTTTTCTAAGCAGATTTGTTTATGTTTCATCCAGTCATCTTTCAAGATGAACAGATAATGTACAAGTTTCTAATCATTATGGCTAATTACTTAATTTAATTACTTAATTGCCTGAATTATCTAACTTAATTTAATTAAAATAGCGCCTAATTAGCAAGTCCCCTCTGCGGTCTGTGGGTAAAAAGGGCGCTGTAGGTGAGTTATCTATGCACATAGGGGACGTTTCGTTTAGATAGAGGAGGGTTTTCAGGGATGGTATGTGCAGTTCCAACTAAAGTCATCTTTTATAGCTCTGGGATGCTGATGTGTCCAGGAATATTACTCACATGATTATCGGTACCTTTCTTTACCATATCCAATGACCCCTATGACAATAGGGACAATCGTAGTTTTCAAGATTAATGTTACTTTGATATGCACGTCCCTATAATTTGAGAGTTATTGAAATTCTTTTTTTAGAACATAAGTATCCTGTTTGTAAGTCATATTAATTGGTTGGAAGGTTCCATTTTTATTTTTAAATCTTTTATTACGGTCTGGTCTATTTGCATCAATTTTCCTGTCTGCGAGGGTTAGGAAATTCCATGGCATAATTACCATTTGTGACATTATTCAAGAGGTGTTTGTAAATGGATCCAATAGTTCGATATTATAGTTCGAACGGACATACCAATGAATATAATATCCTAGCCTGTCATGTCTAATAATGTATTATTATTATTATTATTATTATTATTATTATTATTATTATTATCATCTTCTTTATCTTATTTCCTTTGATTTCTCATGTGTACTCATTTCTTTTCGGGTTCCGCCCAAGGACCTAAGGATACAAAGTATGGTCCTTACTTAGACGCGGGTGTGGGTGAAATGATGAAACTGGAGACAACCGGAGACGATGTATACAAGACACACATTAGAACTAGAAGAGACTGTAAGTCGAGAAAGAAGATCATGGTGTTATGACATTTTGCATGAACCCGGGGGAATGGCGAAGGGGAGAGAGAGAGAGAGGTAAAGACGTTGGCAAGTTATTAGGAAAGTTTGTTTAGCACTCACCCAAATAATAAAGCAGTTTGGATTACAACATTTAAGTAATGGTGCGTTAAAACAGATTATAATTGAATACGTTTATCAAAACCGAAAGAATGATTTTTACCGTGTATCATATTGAGAACACGTTTCGTTTCAAACATTAAACATTATTATTATTATTATTATTATTATTATTATTATTATTATTATTGTGTATGTTATGTTTCACGCTTTGTAGACACGGGTCCAGACTATGGTCCTTAGGCCCTATAGTAGAACTGTCTTTTAATTGGTAGCACTTTTCTTAGTATATGGGATGTTCCTAGTAGGGTGATTTTCTGGGCAACTAGTATGTTGATGTTTCTTGGGACACTTATTAAAACTGTCGCTTTCTTCTTTTTTTCCCGAGGCCCAGAGCTCCAATTATTATTGATACAGTTTCAGTTTTAATTACTCATATCCTGCAAATATCAAATCTTCAGGTCCTTGTATTTGGACAATTTCTCGATTATTTTTATGGAGATGTTTCTCTCCGATGCTACTGCTATGTCAATAAACATATACTTCCTGAATTTCTTTTCTTTTATGTTAATATCAGGTCTGTTGGCTTTTATTTCCCTGTCAGTCAGAATTGGCATGTCCCAGAGGATAGTTACATCGTTGTTTTGAGTAACTGTGTCTGGTTGGTGCTCATACCATCTCTCAGTGGTTTCGATTTTGTGCTTCTTACAAATCTTCCAGTTATGTCTTTCTGGGCATCCTAAGGTAAAATATCCTCGACAGTTTCATCATATTTTCCGTTGAACCTGCATTCCGGCTTTGTTCCAAGATTGATTATGTGACAGTGATAAAATCTGTTTGAGAGGCTTTGATCCTGAGCTGCAATAATGAGGCCTTCTGTCTCAGTTTTTAGTCCGATGGTCCTCAGTCACTGATGTGTTTTCTGTTGGTTCACATCTGCTTCTTTCGTTCTTTTTCGGTATTTCCCATGCAACACATTGTCCACCCTGTTGTTGTTGTTGTTGTTGTTGTTCTTCTTCTTCTTCTTCTTCTTCTTCTTCTTCTATTATTATTATTATTATTATTGGAATCAATTGTGACGAACCTGAAGAGTGCATGTTCTTCCGTTACCCTTGCACCCTTCTACTCTTAATGCTGTCGCTGTTTTCAGTAATGCTGTCGTCTGGATGATCCAAAATCTCAACAATTACCAGGATCTTCCAGATATTTTTCTGGTATCTTTGGATTCATTCCCAGAGCTCTGATACCAAATGGCACAATTCTTACAATCATATTTGATAACTTCTGACAATACCTGGCAAAATCGAGATATGTATCTGTTGTGCAGTTATTTCGCAGTGGAGGCTTGTATTTGTACTAAATCGGTCCTAAAATAGGTTCGACGTACAAAAACGTTAAGAACTTGATATAATAGGTATTACGCAGAGTAATCTTGTTGTGGTCGCTGACTACTTTCGTATTCAACTAACTGTAGACTACTGTCGTCCGACATCGACGCTATTTAGTAACTGCCCAATGCAGTCACATGTGACACAAGGCCGAATTTAATGTGGGGTTTCCGAACCGTAGGCTCGTCCAAAAAATCCGCGTAGACCCCGCATAAATGGGATCGGGTCTATCTACCTCCCCGGATGAAACTTTGCCCTTCGGCATACCCTCGTCCGGGTTCCTCTCTGCCCGTAGGCAGAGAGTTCGACTGTCGTCCGACATCGACTACTATTTAGTCATCCCCCCACGAGGGTATCATGTGGCACAAGGCCGGTTGAACGTGGGATCTCCGAGCCCGTGGGATCTCCGAGCCCGTGGGATCTCCGAGCCCGTAGGCTCGGCAAAAAGATACCCTTTGAACCCGTATAAACGGGTTCAGGGTCAGTTTACCTCCCCGAAAGAGACTCCGCCCTTCGGCGTAGCCTCGTTCGGGTTCCTAAAGGCAGAGAGTTCAACCATTAAGCCGGTCGTCCGACATCGACTAGTATTTACTCCCCCCCCCCCACGAGGGTATCATGTGGCACAAGGCCGGTTTAACGTGGGATCGCCGAGCCCGTGGGTCGGTCAAAAATATACCCTTTGAACCCGTATAAACGGGTTCAGGGTCGGTTTCCCTCCCCGAACGAGACTCTGCCCTTCGGCGTAGCCTCGTTCGGGTTCCTCCCCGCCCGAAGGCAAAGAGTTCAACCGTTCAGCCGGTCGTCCGACATCAACTGACCCTCGTTTCTCTTACTACTCCTACTTATATTATTTGGGAGAGTCTATTAACTATAGAATAGGGGTGTTTCACCACAACAGTATCAATCTTTTCACTTTCTTTCAAATCCAAATCTTTGGACCACCGAAACTGCGAAGCATTATTATTATTATTAGTAGTAGTAGTAGTAGTAGTATTGTTGTTGTTGTAGTAATTCATGCTGCACTTACCCACTTTGCATGGGACAATTTCAACCATGATAAATCCCGATCAACTTTTTACACACCACCATTACTTGTTAGTACTTAAAAGTGAAAGCAATACACAAAATAATTTAGCTGATGTCAATTCATTTTATTATTTTTATTTTTTATTGCATTGGCTTATGTTGGTGGCAAGGGGGGGGCGATGATTTTTGGTTAAAATCACCGTTACGTTAAAATAAAATTTAATCGATAGATACATTCTTCGACTGCTCATGTAGTTATTGAAAATTCTGAAGGAACGTGAGTGAACTTAACAGTGACAGACTAAAAGGTTGCAATTTTGCGCCAATCTTTTCCGGGGAAAAACAAGTCGACCGCCTTGAGAATCCGCATTCTGAATGCTGAATTGTTTTACCTGGAATAGAACACCGATTAAAGGCGCTGAAAGTAGAAGAGCAATGTATCTTAGGTTCAGTCACAGACATGTATAATAATCAGGATACAATTGCAGTGACTAGATAGATAGATAGATAGATAGATAGATAGATAGATAGATAGATGGATAGATAGATAGATTGCTCGCTAGCTAGCTAATTAGATACGAATAGATCTAGTTAGATACATATACATACTTACATACGAACAGATAGATAGAGAGATAGATATTAACAGACTAGAATATTTAGATAGAAAGAAAGAAACTGTGATAGATAGAAAGAAAGAAAGAAAGAAAGATAGAAACTGTGATAGAAAGAAAGATAGATAGATAGATAGATAGATAGATAGATAGATAGATAGATAGATAGAAACTGTGATAGATAGAAAGAAAGAAACTGATAGATAGATAGATAGATAGATAGAAACTGATAGAAATTAACAGACTAGAATATCTAGATCGATAGAAAGAAACTGATAGATAGATACATGCATAGATGGATAGATAGATATTAACAATCTCGAATAGATAGATAGATAGATAGATAGATAGATAGATAGATATGAAGACATTGGGATACCTCGATAGATAAATATTTGTTAGGACATTTGGTGTTTGGTGTTAATTTTAGGCACTTGCTCCTATCATGATTTTTTTAGCCATTTTCTCATTCAGCTAAGTGTCCAGCGACATGGATCTTATAGAAGTAAGTGCAAATCACAAATGTCTATATTAACATTTGATATGAATTCTAAAAAAGCAAAAGGAACGATCTTGTCGTCGGTGACTATCGCACCCTCCCCAAAACGAATGAGGAGAAAGGATATAAAAATGAAACG